GGCACATCCATTGGACGCCTGCTGTTGGCGGCCTGGTGAATTAATGAAGGATTGGTCTTCACTGAGTGCTCAGACTCTCCCATTGCCACAGATGACTCAGTATATGCTGGCATGCTAGGGAAGTCATTCATGGTTTTTAAAAGGATTGGGGAGGAACTGGAAATGTTGAGACCAAATTGGTGCTTTGGAAATACTGGTCTGTCCGCAGGATAGACTGGAGAGGGAAGAAACTTTCGGCAGAACAGCACATTGTGAAATTATTTATTTGTCTGGATTCACAGGGCTGGAGTTGGGTTATTTGCAGAGGAATTAGAAAGAGACAGATGTGAGAGTAGCTCGTGGTGCCAACTGGCTGCTGAGGAAACGGATGGGCACTAAATTCTGAGACCAGGAGGATGTGTGCGTGTGAGAGCTTGACAAGACGGTCTGGAACAATTGCTCGTTTTATCGTGGAAATTGTTAGTTTCTGCCTTTGAGATTTTGAATCTTGGGTGATCGGGCTCTTACTTCTCTCCTCTACTCTGCTTGCTCCGAGGTCACCACTGATGGAGGTTTTTAAGGGTAGAGGCTTGTTTAAATTAGGTGGAACATTACTTTCATGTGTTAATTATTTTAAATGCAGCTGTATTTGAAGGTTTTACATTCTAAACTGTATAAATTTTGCTGTGTCATTGAAAGTACTTTATGTGCCTTTTATCTTGAACAGTATTTTGGTTATAATTAGAATGTGAACTCCTTGAGATTAGGGAAACTGGCTAGGCTTCAGCTTAAACTCGGGATTATGTTCATTGAATTAAATTGTTTAAAGCTGTGAGATAGATGCAACTTGAAAATTCCTAAAATTATTTTCCCTTATATTTTTACTATGAAAAATTTCTAGCATAACTGCTAATATAACAGAAGAGCTTACATGAACATTATATTTGGTGAGGTAAACTTGTGTGCATTTGAATTGAAAAAGGAGATACTTATAAGGTGATTACTCTGTGCAAGGCACTCTTAAATGGTGTGAAGAGTCCCCAGGTGACCAGCCTGACCTCTACAGCAGTGCTAGCCTTGAACTGTCTCTGGCAGTGGAAAGGGCCTATATCTGTGCTGTCCACTGCTGTGGCTGCTCGCTACGTATGCCTCGTGGGTATTTCCAGCAGGGCCTGCCCTGACTGAGAAGCTAAACTTCTGATTAGTTTCTTTTTAAGATAGAATACACGGGCCCACCCTGGTGGTTCAGCAGGATAAAGTGTAGCACTGAGAAGCTGAAGCAGCTACTTCAGCATGAGTTCAATCCCCACATGGCACGGCAGACCCCTCCTGTCTCCCCACTGCTCCCCTCAGCAGTGTGTTTCAGTCCATCTGCTTGTTGTACTCCCCTCTCTGTCTCTGGTGATTCCTCTCACCACTCATACCCCTGGCCTGTACCCCAGTTCTGTATGCATAAATAAATAAATCTTTAAAGAAATAGAATACAACACATCATATAGTTAAAATCTACCTAGTTTAAACAGCCACGTGTGGTTCCTGGTTGAAATATTGAATGACACAACTCTAGAGTCTTTGAAACTATTGTGGGAGGGTGGTAGGAGCTGAACCCGTGAAAGGGAAGTCAAGTGCTGAAAGTTGGGGCAGCAGAGTGTGCAGGTGCAGCACGTGGTAGCTGTCAGACCGACAGTGCAGAGTGAAAGGTGTGAGCGTTTGGGTAAGAGAGCTTTGTGAAGTCAAAGGCTCTTGTAAAGCAGTGATGGAAAGTAGCCTGGAAAGAGATTTTTTTGGGGACCAAGTTTTAGAAAACCTAAACAATGTACTGTTTTCTTGGATGTGAGTGCTTCTCTTAAAAAAAAAAAAGATTTATTTTTATTTATTTATGCATACAAGAGCTGAGGTGTAGGCCAGAGGTGGGGGGAATGTAAGAGACAGAGACAGAGCAGGGAGCAGAACAGGCAGATCCACTGAAACACACTGCTGAGGGGAGCAGTGACGAAACAGGAGAGGTTCTGCTGCGCCATGTGGGTCACTCCCTGGCTGGGGGTTGAACCCCTGCTGCGGGGACAGCTTCAGAGTACTGAGACTTAACCCCTCCCTTGGGTGCCTTTTTTTTTTTTTTTTAATGTAATTGATGGGCGACTGCACGAAGCATGTCTGCGTGGCACCTGAAAATTAAGGAGTGACTTTAGGCCCATCAGTCAGGACCAAAGGAATGGATTTCCAAGTCATTCTCATAGTGAGCTGGGTAATAACAGTGTACTGGCTCCATCACCTCTCACTTCTGTGGCCCTGGACATGGCATTAAATATCCCTGAGCATTGGTTTCCTTAATTGCAGAGTACTTATTTCAGTATTATGAAAACTAAGTGTGTAAAGTTCTTAGAACTATACCTGGCACATTGTCAGTTCATGAAGTGTTTTCCCCTGTGATGATCAATCTTGGTGAATAATACCACACTCAGTCACAAGAGTTAGTTGGTTAGTTGTTAGCCTGGTTAGTTGTTAACCAGGCTTCCTTTTGCACCTAATCTGTATTCCACGTAGGCTTCTAGCAGAGTGTTTTTCACATTTGGGGGCAGCCCTCTGCTTGCATGTGTGCCTCACACACCTAGAGTAGAGGTCCTCAGAGCATGCATTAGGTTTTATCTTTATTTGTATCCTTAGTACTTAATGTGTTGCTAATATCAGGCACAAAATAAATGTGTAAACTGTGGCCACATTTTATAGCTGAAAACAAACCAACCAACCCTAAGTTCAAAGAATATGCGTTATTACTAGTTACCCTGTGCCCAGGGTAACAGGACTAAGTGATCTAAGAACTACAGATCTAAGTGATCTAAGAACACTTCAGTTCTGTTTTATTCACCACAATACTTCACCAGTATTGTGGATTAAAACCAGTTGAGTAATGAGTCCACCTATGGACTTAGAGTCCCTAGAGGATAGCAGAGTTTCCACATTGAGGTTTGCAAAGTCAGATGTGTTTTTTGTGGATTGAGTTAATAAAGTTACATATGTCATCAGTTTTTTTTTAATGTTCACAGCTGCTTTTGTGTTAGTTAAATGATGAATCATTTTAGTGAAGTAGGCATATGTTTTCCGAGGAAAACAATAGGATGGCCTTAACAGTACAGGAAGTTTGGAATAAAAGCTTTACATAGTTTGCTTGGGAATTAATATGGTATATTGATTCAGATTATGTGGTGAATCTGACATTTTGCTGGCTGTCACTAGTTCACTAAAGTAAGAAAAGTTTTAAAAAGTTTTGAAACCAAGCTTAAATTTAAAATCAGTTAAATCTATTTTTGTAAATAAGGTGGCTCTATGTATATTTCCAGCTGCTACCATGTTTAATTTTTTTTGCTTAGCACGAAAAATATTTATTTCATATATATGAAAATGTTTTATCAGATCTTAAAATATATTGACAGTTCTGTGGTCTAAATTGTCATCTCCCTTAGCATCTGAATTTACTATAAAGTGTATTGTTTTATCAATTCATGTTTTATCCATTAGGGTCATGTAGGAGTCTGATTGACAGAGGTTTAATTTGCACATCCTTTACCTCACATTTTTTGATGATACTATGGTAGGAACATGAGAGTTCAACTCTTATAGCAACTTTCAAATATATAATCATAATGTTTAATTCTTAATGGGAAGTTTTTTTACATTAATGATTGTCTGCTGTCTAGACACACAATGTTGTATTGTTATCTGACCACACAGTGTGCTTCTATTATTGATATAAAACATTTGTGGTCTGGCAGACAGTCTATGTTCAAGGGTATAGCTTAAATAAAAGTGTTTTAAAATAGGTGTGCTGTTTGTATCAGCTTGTTTAGCTACTAGATAAACAGAATTGTGTGGTTCCATTTATTTCTTTGGCAAATATTTATTCAATGCCTGCTGTGAATCAGGCCCTCCCCAGAGCCCTGAGTTAGAGCTGTAGTTGGGTGAAGCAGACCTGTCTTGGCCCTTATCTTTCCCTGGGGCGCATGACTCTGAATGTGAAGCATGTGGTAGGTATCTGTGATACAGCGAGAGATAGTGACAAGTGCTCCTTAGAAAACGCTGGGAGAGGGGCGAGGACGTGATATTTTTCGATTTCAGAGAGAGTTGTCTGATAAGGCTTTTCTAAGCAGGTGTTTGAACAGAGAGACTTGAAGCAAAGTCTCGCAAAGCTATCTGGGGGAATGGCCTTCCAGGTAGAGGGTCCACGAATGCGAGACTCTGAGGAAGGGGCATGAGGGCGTGAGCTTGGCTTGTTTTTCCAGGGAGTTTAGGCTGCTGGAGCTGTGTGAGCCAGGAGAGGGGTGGGGGAGATCATGTAGGAGCTTCAGGTTTCATTCTGAGTGTGAAATACTTTTCTGGAAGGTTTCTAGCAGGGGGCTAAAGTGATCTGACTTGAGCTTAAAAAGGTAGTTAGTCTCTTAGGTAGAGAGCAGATGCGAGAAGTACAAGCAAGGAAGCAGGAAGATTAGCTAGCAAGTGGTGACATTGACCTCTGGATGGGAGACAAGAATGGAAGTGAGGAGTAATCAGCTTTGCAGTATGTTTTGGAGACAGTCACAGGCTGTGTTGATTGGTTGCAGTGTGAAGGAAGCTGTCAAGGCTTTCTGAGCAGTGACTTTATTAGGAACTTTTCTTTTTGCTTATTTGTGTTTACTAGTTTTTCTATACTGAACCTGTAATGCAATTGCAATTGAGCCGCAACTGCTTCAGTGAGAGTTAGATCCCTGCCCCCAGCAACCCACAGGCCTGACCTGCCCACTGCTCCCCTCAAGCAGTGCACTTCCTCAGTCGGCCTGTTCTGCTCACCACCCCTGCACCTCTGGCCTGTACCCCAGTTCTGTATGCATAAATAAATGAATCTTTAAAAAATATATAGAGCGATTATTTTAAAATTAAAGTTAACCTGCTAAATGTAGCCCAGTTCTTAATGTGTTCTTCCAGCCCTTTTGGTTTTGAAAAACAATTCATGTAACATAAACTTGTAAAATTTGTCTTTTTACATTTAGTGGTCAGCCTTTGTACCTTTTCCACATTGAAGATGGTGAAGCTAGATATTCATACTCTGGCCCATCACCTCAAGCAGGAACGCTTGTATGTAAACTCTGAGAAACAGCTCATCCAGAGGCTCAACGCGGATGTACTGAAGACAGCTGAGAAGTTGTATCGCACAGCCTGGATTGCTAAGCAGCAGAGAATTAATTTGGATCGGCTTATCATAACCAGGTACAGAAAGGGCTTGAGATCTAAATTTTATTAACCACTCTAAATCTGTACTGACTAGTAACTAAATGAATCTATTTCTAACAAAAGTGCATAGTTTAAGAGTTTAAAGAAACATTAAAGTGAGTTTTAGTATTTTGTTTATTAATTAAGTATTGTTTTAGAGACTTGTAACTTAAGCACTAGTATTTTATACCACACCAGTTAATTATGTATCTTTGTGTTTACATAGTATCTTATTGTTCTAGACAGTGAATTGTGTTCTGCTTTTCTCCTACTACTGTTTAACATACACACTCCTTTGTTTTGATATTATACACTTGCTTTTGGTTTAGAAAACTAATTTTTTACTGTGTTATTACCTCAGTTTTCTTTTGTTCCAAAAAGCTGTTTTAAGCGTTAAGTATAGTGATTCTGAGTACACTGTTGGGAAAAGAAGCCAGACATGGAAGTGTGCAGACTGCAGGGTGTCATTTCTGTGGTGTCCAGGACTAATCTTTGATGAAAAAATCAGAATGCTTATTTCTTGTGCCTGAGATCATATAAAGAATTGGATCCCCTTTGTACTTTCTGCTTCTGTCTCTTTTCACACATTCGATTCTGGTGCTCTAAAATGTTGGCAGTTCATAGAGTGAGACCGCTGAGGCGATCGTCAGCTTGCGTTTCCACATTTTGGCCTAGTAGATGTGTCATGTTATTGCTTTTAACTTGATTCTTTTGCCTGTTTGCTTTTTTTAAGTGCTGAAGCTTCGCCTGCTGAATGTTGTCAACATGCCAAACTTTTGGAAGACACTCAGTTTGTTGACGGGTATAAGCAGTTAGGGTTTCAGGAGACTGCGTATGGAGAGTTCCTGAGTCGATTAAGGGAAAATCCTCGTCTTATTGCCTCCTCTTTGGTTGCTGGAGAGAAACTTAATCAGGAGAACACACAAAGTGTTATTTACACCGTTTTTACCTCCCTCTATGGTAACTGCATCATGCAAGAAGATGAAAGCTACCTCCTTCAGGTTTTGAGATACTTGATTGAATTTGAGCTTAAGGAAAGTGACAACCCTAGGAGACTTCTGAGGAGAGGGACTTGTGCCTTCAGCATCTTATTCAAGCTATTTTCTGAAGGACTGTTTTCTGCCAAACTTTTTCTCACGGCTACTTTACATGAACCTATAATGCAGCTGCTTGTTGAAGATGAAGATCACCTGGAAACAGATCCAAACAAGCTAATTGAGAGGTTTTCCCCATCTCAACAGGAAAAACTCTTTGGAGAAAAAGGCTCAGATAGGTTCAGGCAGAAGGTTCAAGAAATGGTGGATTCCAATGAAGCCAAACTAGTGGCTTTGGTGAACAAGTTTATAGGTTATCTCAAGCAGAACACATACTGCTTTCCACACAGCTTGAGGTGGATCGTGTCACAGATGTATAAAACCCTTTCCTGTGTAGACAGACTGGAAGTTGGGGAGGTCAGGGCCATGTGTACTGATCTCCTCCTGGCCTGCTTCATTTGTCCTGCGGTTGTCAATCCAGAACAATATGGAATCATCTCTGATGCTCCTATTAATGAGGTGGCAAGATTTAATCTGATGCAGGTATGATTTTGCTATTAATATTGATGTGACACTCAGTTTGAAATCGTTGCTTGTGCACTGGGGCAGTGTAGGAACAGAAACTGTGGTGAGATAATTCTTACAGTCTCACCATTTTTTTCCCTCAAACTATCCTAAATATTTGCTTCTTAATGAAATGAAAGCAATCATATTGGGATTTTGAGCATTGTAGTCCTGAAACATTTTGTGTTATTTTTTAAATGGAATCTCATACATTTGTGTGTATGGTCAATTAGATTTTCTAGATGAAGTTCATCATATCTTTTCTAAAATTTCAACATCCAAACTGAGAGTTTTATATTATATTTGTTAGTAAGTCCTAATATAAGCTAACATGAGACTATTTGTGGTGGTAGGTGTTCCGTTTGGTATTAATGGACATTCCTATCACTGCAGAGCAATTAGTGTATTTGCTTACAGGACGCCGTCCTACACATGGGTTATGTTCCACACAGTATACAACTCATGTTTCTGAAATCTCCAAATTCTGAAATTTGAAACTCTTCTACATCCATGAATTTCTGGAAAGATTTTCAGATCTATATGCACATTTCCCACCAGCATCTAAATTGAAGTTACCTAATTAAGAGAATTTTTTAATAATATCCTAACCCTCAAAAATACTGTGAAGAAGACACTAGTTTTACTTGAATAGAGTATTTGTTTTTGGGTGACTTTTATTTTTATTTTTTATTTAAAAAATAATATAATAGTTTACTTTTACATCATTTTGTGCAGTTTTTCCATCTCAGTTGTAATCCCCATGAGCTTCCCATCACCAAATTTGGGTGACTTTTATTTCTTAATGATAAGCCTTTTTTCATGATCAGCTCTATAATTTGGAGTATTTAGCAACTAACTATATAGGCATTCCTGAAATAAAAATTTTAGTTTTCTATCACCTGTGACACTCTATATTTATTATGATAATAGAGGTATAGTTTTTATTTTTGTCATTCCAACAGAGGTTGAATCATATTTTCAAAATAAGTAGAAATGTGGATTTTCCCATATGTTAAAATGATGCTCTATGTTAACTTTCAGCAAAGTGTGTTTAAAGGTGAATAATTCACCTGGGCAATGAGCAACGTGCTCTGTGAGTTTACACGCACTTTCCAGATAGTGTAGGTGGTGTAGAAATTGTTTGATTTTATATCTAGGGGGAAAAGTCTATGTTCAGTACTTTATGAATTATAGAGGGAAAAATACTTAATGTTAATTAACCTGAAAAAATTTCAGTGAATCAGCCTTCACAAATTAAAATTCTAAACATATGAAAAGTACAGTATCACAAAGGTTTTTTTACTTTCATTTCATTGAATCACTGTGTGTTAAAGAGAAATTAAAGCAAAAATGTCCATTTGCTCTGAATACAGTAAAAGCTGATGTAGACAAGTCACCTCCTTTATTTGGGACCCTATTTCATATGCCTGGTGGGAGTGAACATCACTGTGATGTAGTCTCAGGTCAGCGCGGCTGCGCTTTCACCGCTTTCACGGGGAAGGCAGTCAGCACCCACAGCCTCGTCTCCCTCCCGCCCTCCCTCCCTGGTTGCAGGTTGGCCGCCTCCTGCAGCAGCTGGCGATGACTGGCTCAGAAGAGGGAGATCCGCGGACCAAGAGCAGCCTTGGAAAGTTTGACAAAGTAAGATTGAATTTTGTGCCATGCGAAGTACTGTTTACACAAAAGCCTGCCAACGTGTTGGAAAGCTTTCTGCTCCTGTCTCTCGGTTTTGTCCCCAGGTGTAGATAAGTACATTTTCTTTTCAGTTACTCTTGGCATAGCTGTAGAGCTGTACACCATGTTGATCAGCAGTATTTAAAAGTTGTTGCTACAGATCCCTAATTCTCACTTACGGAAGTGTTAAGGTGATGTCATTGTAATTAGAATAAAAGTGCTATTAGGATTATTTTATTAAAAAAATACAAATCTATGGGTAGATGAGTCACAACTACATAATTGTAAAGATAACATGGCATTGTTCAGCCAGTTTAATCAGTCCTGTTTTGAGTAGGTTGTACATTCAGCCTAATTTGAAATTTAAAGGTTATACAAGAAATTTCCCCTTCACCTCTGATCCCTAGCCTTCCGGAGGGTCTTGACATTACCAATCTTGTGTGCTTGCCTAGAGGTCTGTGTACAAGCAAGTTCCTGTGTCCGTCGGCCCACTCAGGCCCTGCCTCATTGCAGGGCGGTCGGCTCACTACGCTGTCCCTGGAGCTCATCGCTCACAAGAGTTTAGTTTTCTTAAATGTTGACTTTAGGATAATTTTCAAGAAAACTTTTTCCTTGCTTGTCTACTTTAATCAGAAATTTTGCTTCCTTATTTTAAAGGGAAGAAGAATTTCACTGTGACCTTTTCCTATCTTAACAGGGCTGTGTTGCTGCTTTCCTTGACGTTGTAATTGGGGGCCGTGCTGTGGAGACCCCACCCATGTCCTCTGTTAATCTTCTGGAAGGGTTGAGCAGAACTGTGGTTTATATCACTTACAGTCAGCTAATTACTCTGGTAACGGCTCTATTTTCTGAGATGATTCATCTATGATTCTATGATTCATCATCTTTTTCTCAAAAGTCATTTATCTAAACATGAGCAGGGTCAGAGAGGAATACATTGTGTGAGAAAGATATCGATAGACGTGTTTGGAAAATTGTTTACACCAGCTGATAATCTTCTGACTCTGCCAGGTGAATTTTATGAAGAGTGTGATGTCTGGAGATCAGCTGAGAGAAGATCGAATGGCTCTCGACAATTTATTGGCAAATATACCTCAGCTGAAGCCAGGAAAAAGCAGTTTGGAAATGACTCCCTACAGCACTCCTCAGCTGTCTCCGGCAACTACTCCAGCTAATAAAAAGAATCGGCTACCTATAGGTGAAGAAACGTTTTCATGTTGGGATTGTTTCTTAAATTTAGTATTTCTTAGCCTGTGTTACTGTTCAGTGTTTTGAAATCGTTTTAAATAATGTGCAAAAAATTCTCTTTATGTTTACTGATAGAAATTCAGGTTGTTAAAATCACACCAATTAGCTAAGGTTTACTATTAGTAACTTTACTTTTTGTTAGACATACACTTTTCATAATTAAATGATGGTGCCTGTCGTATACTTTGTTTATATTTCAGTATTTTTTCTCAGAAATTTTTGGAAATGCCATTTGTTTTTGAACTATGTAGCTCTGTCCTTTCTATGGAATTCTAAATCATATAGTGAATAATATTTTAGAAGTTTCCGTCAGTGAAGTGGAAAACATATAGTTACTTTTTCCATTATTGTTAATAATAATTAGTCTCTTATTATATGAAGTAAGATAAGTTTGTTTGACACAAAGGAAAAATCCATTTTACCAAGTTGATGTATTTAAGAATTAGGTTTAATTAAGCTGTATTTGCTTAGTAGATACACAACACAAATTGAGCATATACCATATGGCAGGCAGGCACTGAATCTTCTGGAAGCATTTATAAACACTGTTTCATTTAACACAACAAAAACCCTTTGAGAGTTGGTGTAATAACTGTTTCGCGGGTGAGGCACTACATTAGACACTGGGGGCACAGAGCATTTGGGCAGCCCTCACTCTCAAGTTAGTTGCTGACAGTCTAGTTGGGGAGAGCAGGAGGAAGCCAGTACTCTGCAGTGTGCTGTGTCTGATGGCCACAAGCAACAGAGGGCTGTGGGCACACCTCACTTAGCTGGTTGGTGGTTTAGGAGAGGGCCTTGGAACCAGTGCTGTTTGTACTCATTTTTGAAAGATGAATGGTGGTTAGACAAAGTAAGCAAGAAAAGGAGTGTTCAGACCAAGGGAACAAAGTACTGTAGTGCCCACATTTTAATGATTATCAGGAAGAGCTCAGCAACAGTTAGCGATCTGTTACTGCATTATTTTTTAAAGATTTTTGCATACAAGAACTGGGATATCAGCCAGCGGTACAGGGGCCAGGGGTGGGGGTGTGTGTGAGAAGATTCACCAAAGACAGAGCAGGGGGCAGAACAGACAGATCTACTGAAATACACTGCTGATGGGGAGCAGCAGGAAGACAGGAGAGGTCTGCTGCGCCCTGTGGGTCAGCTCCCAGGCCGGGGATGGAACTCGCTCTGCAGTGGCTGCGGACAGCTTCATAAAGTGCTGGCTTAATCCTTTGTGCCACCAGGGAGGCCCTCCTGTTAACATGTATTTGACACGTGTTGAAGAATAGGAGTTCATATTTTAAATTTTCATGAGCTGATTTGCTAAGAGTGGCCAGTTTCTTAATATGAATATACCTTATATTTAGAGCTGTACCAAATTAAGCCATTTAGCAGGAATGTGGCCTCATATTCCTCAAGACCATGGCTTTCATCACTGTAGAATATCAATTTTCAGCATACTAAAATGTTTTATTCAATGAGTTTTATTACTGTAGATCATTTCACTTTGTTAATGTAAAGAATTAGATGACTCAGGTAAACAGGTTTTTCCTCCATTATTCACTCCTCTACACTAGCACTTTCATTTCTTGTCTTCTACCAGTATTGTTAAATATGGGTCTAGTAGAAAGTAAATTTCAAATGTTTGCCCAGCATTATTTTATATAACTCTGTAAACTGGTCATTGCATTTATTATATATATTTTTAAAAATGTCCGTTGTTCAAAGGGTTGATTTTCTTTCTGTTTATCGCTTTTGCAACCCAGGACAGCAGTTAGCGGCCATCACTGCCTGGGACCCCTCAGCCACCAGCCTTACTGCTCATATCACTCTAGTGACCCCATTTGGTGGGTAGTAGGCTGTCCTTCCTTTCTTTACGTGACTTTTATTTAAGAAATAGTTTATAAAGGTGTGCTTCATGTGCATGTTGCTTTTGCTTTTTGTAAATTGCTACATGAATTTGGTTACTCACATTTTCATAGATTTTAAAGTTTATTACTCGAGGGTCATGGTATTATTCATGAAGCTGAATTTAAGTTCACAATTCAGAAGAAGATAGTGAGGGAAGAAGTTTTAAATTTTCAATGAAAGGCTTAAGTGGACCTGTTTTAGACTTTTGAAAGTTGCTGGATACTCTGCATTTTGAAAGTAAAAGTGATTGATGACCAGATCTACAGCACTGTGATCAAAGATGATTGGTTATATTTCTGTCTTCTAGAAAGCTAACTTTCATCAAAGTGAAGTTGAAAGGCTATTTTTTTAAAAAAGATTTACTTATTTATGCACACAAGAACTGGGATATAGGCCAGATGTGCTAGGGATGAGAGAATTCACCAGAGACAGTGGGGAGCAGAACAGGCAGACCAATGAAGCACACTGCTGAGGGGAGCAGCGGGCGAGTCAGGAGAGGTCTGCCACACCATGTGGGTCACCTCCCTGGCTGAGGGTCAAACTTATGCTGCAGTCACTGTGGATGGTTTCAAAGTGCTGTGCTTTAACCTGTTGCGCCATCAGGGAGGGCCCAAGGCTGTTTTTACTATACAGTGTTGGTTTTTATGTTTGTATTTTTGATTAGTTTACACTGTGAAAGAACTTATGTTTAGTATTCTAGTTACATTGAATTTTATTGCCTTCTGAAAAAAAGTTGTAACTTGCCACAGAAGATTAAAACTTGTAAATTGTCACAGACTAAAGTTTTCCATGTCCACGTGCTCTTGAATGATTTGTAGCGTGGATTATTTAAGAAAATAGTATTATTTGTTTATCTGTAGGTAGAAACAAAATACTCCAAAATTAGATTCTTTGTTAATTTAGGATGCTGCCATAAAGCAGAAAGGAAATTCATATTCAAACATAAGAAAATCTTGTCTAATGCTTCTTTGAAAAGAAGGAAGATTTCAATTTGAAATCTTCAGCTAGTAGTATGGGAAATATTTGGCATTTAAATCATTTTGTAGGAGAAATAGTTGAAGGTATCTTGAAAGATAAGAAATAGGGTAGTGCTTTCTTGTCACCCCAAGTCTTAAATTGACTGGGACACGTTTGCTTTTCTGTGAATGCCGTAATCTGCATCACTCTCCATCAGGTAAACTTGGATTGTTGTTTCTTACCAGTTTGGAAGGAGGATCTGTATTATTCCTCAGTAGAATCACTGAGAAGATCTAGTGCTTCCTTATCCATTTCCACCATTTTTTTATGTGCATGTGCAATATGTTCTACAGTAATAGAATGTATTTTTGAATTTATTGTCCCATTTTCTTCATTTTGTCTTTTTCTCTGAATTATCTTACTTGAATTTTTTTATTAGCAACTCGAAGCAGAAGTCGCACCAATGTGTTAATGGACTTACATATGGACCATGAAGGGTCATCTCAAGAAACTATCCAAGAGGTACAGCCAGAAGATGTATTGGTCATTTCCTTAGGGACAGGTCCCCAGCTCACACCAGGGATGATGTCAGAAAATGAGGTATGATTGTCTTGTTATATTTCACTGCAGCCATCACTTTTAATGACTTTTTATCCTTGGTGGGCCTACCATGACATGCCATTAAATGTAAACTCCTGTGAACAGCTCTGATAGATCTAAGATAACTATACAGAACTTGGGGTAAAGGCAAAGGAAAGAAGAATTTTTTTTTTTTTTAAGATTTATATATGCATACAAGAACTGAGGCATAGGCCAGATGTGATGTTCGGGGGATAAGAGGAGTCACCAGACAGAGTGGGGAGTAGAACAGGTGGATCCACTGAAATACACTTCTGAGAGGAGCAGTGGGTGAGACAGGAGAGGTCTGCTGTGCCATGTGGATCACCTCCCTCGTCAGGGATTGAATTCGTGCTGCAGTGGCTGCCAGTAGCTTCACAGTGCTGTGCTTTAACCCCTTGCACCACCAGGGAGGCCCCAGAAGGACTGTTAATTATTTGTGCATGTCTGTGTTTTCCTATGACTCAGTTTAAGTTATCTTGAAATGTAGGAAAAACTTTCATGTATAAGAGGAATTAGATTTATCCTCTATGGTGCCAGAATGCCTTTCTCAGACCCGACTATGTAGGTGCTGGGAACACACTCAGTAGGGGACAACTTTTCTGCTTAGTCATGGTGGTTTCACCATCATTGTTATTATGGAAGCAAAGGCCTATTGGAGACATATTTTTGTTATGCTTAAATAAGATTTCTCATTTGGATAAGTGATTAGAGTAGATCATAGTTTCTCAGTGGAGGTGACATTGTAATTGCGGGTAAAATTACTTCATTTTGGGAGTTAGTACCATATATTGTAGAACTTTTTATTAAGACTTATTTTAAAACTTTTATTCATTTTTGTATAGGATTAGGGTGTAGGCCAGAGGTACTGGGTGGTGGTGTGGGTGATAGGACTTACTACAGACAGAGTGGTAAACAGACCAGGTGGATTTACTGAAACATACTGCTGAGGGGAGCAGCTGGAGAAACAGGAGAGGTCTGCTGCGCCGTGTGGGTCAGCAGCCTGGCTGGGGAGTGAAGTCAGGTCATTGCAGTTGGCTGGGCTGATATGGTGGAAGTGCTGAGACTTAACCCCAGGCCACCAGAGAGGCCCAGGATTTTTTTTTTTTTTTTTTTTATGCACTCCTCTTGTAACTAATGCCAATAGAATTAGCCAGTCATTGTAACAATCCATATTACTCCCATTCACACCCAAAAGGCTCTGGCAGGATTTCAGTTCCCAGGGAAGAGTCGCTGGGCTAAGGAAACTCAGCATTCTTCTAGCTCTAAACTCTGACTCTGTCTAGCGCTGAATTCACAGATTTTCTGGTTTAAAGGGACGGTAGTCTTCTTTGTACAATCACAAAATTGCTTGCTCTTGGATATAATGTGGGGAAATCTTTGTTGTGTTATGATCCTTTTGTTTTCTGTTGAGTCAGACCATTTTTAGACATTTAAATGGATCTTTCTTGAAGATTTGTTTCACTTTGCTCACTATAATGAGTTTAAAGGTCTATGTTACCTTGAAAATACAAAATAATTTCTGTATTTGCCTTTTACCTTAAGCAAAAAAAGGAAAATATCTATTTGTAAGTGATTTTTAAGCATCATATGTGTAAATGTATAGAACTATTCAAAAAAACTTTAGTTTTCTCATGTAACTGAAGGGCCAAAGCAGCACCTAGAGGGTTTTTCTCCTTTAGGTGAGGATGCTATTCTTTCTTTCAAATTCCAGCAATAGCCTAGAAAACCAGCAGCTCTAAGTCCAAGTTCCAAGTGTGTTTAAAGCATTTTGTGTAACTTCCAACAAAGCACCCAGTTCCTCATTATATTGGAGATAAACACACAGCTAGCTGAATTATGAGGCATGAAGAGAATGAGAAATAATTATTTACATGGAATTCATCTCAGAAATAGAAGACACTGTTTAAACAAGGTTGTCAGCCCTAAACTGGATAGAACCATGAGTCACACTTCGCTTCTGGTATGGACTTCTGTGTGACTGTATTTGATGCTGGAGAGAAGGGTCAGAGCAGGCTGGTTTAATGACGAAGGTCACCTGTGTACTTTTTTCCTCATTTGAATTAGTACAGTCACTTTTGAAAACAATGGTGTCTTACCACACCAGGTGCTTTATGCGCATCTTTTATTCATCCCTCAGATATATATTGTTATTTCACCACTTTATAGGTGAAGAAGCTGAGACTCAGAGCTTAAACAGTTTATCCAGGGTTATGTAGTCGGCATCTGGCAGAACCAGAAGGACTTGTCCGCTGATGCTGGACTTCCCATTTGTGCAGCCCTCAGCACTGTTCATCCAGGGTCTGCCTGCCTGTTCAGTTTCTTGACATCTGTGGGGCAATGGAAAGACATAGGTTCAGATTTATTTTTAACTGACAAGAGTTTTGTTTGTGGAATAGTTAAAAGCTTGTTCAGGCCCTCCCTGGTGGCGCAGCGGGTTAAAGCGCAGCACTGAGAATCTAAAGCCGCTTCCTCATGAGTTCGATTCCCGCCTGCCCCGGAGGTGACCATATGGCGTGGCAGACCTCTCCTGACCCGCCCGCTGCTCCTCTCAGCAGTGTACTTCGTCAATCTGCCTGTTCTGCTTCCCACTCTGTCTGTGGTGAAGCCTCTCACCGCCCCTGAGCCTCTGGCCTGTACCCTAGTTCTGTATGCACAAATAAATAAATCTTTAAAAAAAAAAAAAGCTTGTTCAGAATCTAATTAAAGGGTTTTTAGTTAAAAATAGTAATTTAAGGGGCCTCCTCCAGGTGGCCTAGGAGTTAGGTCTCAATGCTGTCACCACTAGGGCCTGAGTTCGAACCCCGCCAGGGAGTGACGCACAGGTCGCAGCAGACCTTTCCTGTTTCACCACTGCTCCCCTCAGCAGTGTATTTCAGTCCATCTGCCTGTTCTGCTCCCCACTCTGTCTCTGGTGAATCCTCTCACTCCCTTGCACCTCTGGCTTAACACCCCAGTTCTATATGCATAAATAAATCTTTAAAAAGAACTTAAAAAAAAATTTACTTACATGTACATTTGCTGTATTTTGTTTTCTGATCAGTAATGTTTCCATTGTGAAAAGCGAGTGACTTTATTTTTTAGATCCTAAACATGCAACTTTCGGATGGAGGACAAGGAGATGTCCCAGTCGATGAAAACAAACTCCACGGTAAACCTGATAAAACCTTGCGCTTTTCCCTCTGCAGTGATAATCTGGAAGGAATATCTGAAGGTGAAGGGTTGCTTCATTCAAGGAATTGTGTTATTTAAGTAATACTTTGTTTCATGTTCTTTAAAGGAGCCTTATACATTATAATTATCATTCTGTGCCTCTCACTGAGGAGAATAAAGAAGTTTCCCTCTAATGATCTTGAACAGTTGGGCATAAGGATTGTTTCTTGAATAAAATTAAGGTGGCAAGAAGCCTTTGGTCGCTGAGTGCGCTGCTCTGGTCTTGGCCTAAGCAGCCTCCCAGAGCTCCTCAGGGGACGCCCTGCATGTCTCGGGGGAAAATGGGCTCTGGCACCTCAGGGGTCGTCAGACTTGGCATGTTCTGTAGACTTGCCATGTGAATAGTCACACACACCTTTTTGAGTTTGAAAGATACAGTGGAAACAAAAATGAAAAAGAAAATAACAAGCCAAGGTTGTGAAGTGAGAATGTCATTCTGTGTTTCCCAGGACAAGTATTTCTAAAGAGAACAGTTCAAAGTTAGTAACATTTTAAAATAAACCTAAAACACATTGTTTTCTTTTTCTCTAACTTTTCAGAATGATGATAAAAGTGTAGCCATTGTAGGAAATACAGAAAAGGACTAAGTCACCTGTAATCTCACTATCCTATTAATAAGTTAACATTTTGGTCTATTTATAGCAAAATTAGGTTTGTACTGTTTTGCAACCTTTTATTGTTCAGTAGTATAACAATACCATCCCTTTGTAATTTAATGCTTAAATAACTTGGCTTTTAATGGCTTTTCTTTAATTTCAAATGGTCATAATTTATTTAAACCTTCTATGACTAAACATGTTGATGGTTTCCACTTCTCATATAAGAAGCCCTGCAACAAGCAATTTTAGATTAGTTTCTTACAATAAATTTCTAGAAGCAGAAATGCTGGCTTGAAGGGCATGCATTTTTAATATATTGATGCAGTGTTAAAAACAAATCAACCTTTAGTCTCTTATCAAGGCACAAACAACTGCATAGTAACTCATGGCTATTTAAAAAAAAAAATCACTGACAGTATGAACATTTCTTTAGGTCCTTCAAATCGATCAAATTCAGTATCCTCTCTAGACTTGGAAGGAGAGTCTGTATCAGAACTTGGAGCAGGACCTTCTGGGAGCAATGGGGTTGAAGCTCTACAGCTGTTAGAGCATGAGCAAGGTAAAGTGAGAGCAGACAGTGCTCAGGTAGTAAAAAAAATTCATTTGGTTCAGGCTCACCTGTGTTTATATGTAAGTTGACTGGGTTCAGTAAGAGTAAATTTAAGTTGGCTGAATAGCGACCATTAAACTTGTATTTATTTGTAGGTGCATCGATTGCTAAAAATGTATTTAGTTGGTAAGTGAATTGATTAGACTTAAGTTACATAAAATAATTACTGTGAATTGCTTAAATTCTGTTATATGTGATATTTCAGTTCTGTAACATTTCTATTTTAAGGGGATACAATGATAAACACTCAAAAATTAACTAACTTAGACTAGAGAGAGAATGGTACACAGATGATTCAAAGTATCGCAGAAGTGCTTTGGCAGTTGGGAGTGAAAGATACGTGTGATTGGAAGTGTAAGGTAAAGCTTACTGGGTGGAGATAGCAGTCATTGTATTGGCAGAAACTGGAGCTAGGTCACTGTAGATAGATAGAATAAGCGTGTCAGAGGTAGGAAACCTTGGCATCTAGCCAGGAGCTATCAATGGAGCAAGGTGAGTGATGATTAAAAGGTCAGTGGACCCTAGAGGTGCTGTGGGAAGATTAATTTGAAAAGGTTCTTTGGATTGCTTCATTTAAAGAGCAGTGGGGTGTTGTAAGGGAGTGTTGAGGGCAGATGTTCTCAACTAGGTCGTTCTCAACTAGGTCTGAGGCAATGGTTCTTAGACTTCAGTGTGCATTAGAATTACCTGGGGAGTTTTTTAAAAAAAGCTGTTTCCCATGTCTAACTTCTAGAAAATCCTGGTTCGGTCTGTTTTTAGAAAATAGAAGAAGATATTGCCAATTGGGGGGGTATGTGTGATTTAAGTAGTAAGGTTATATTTTACTTAATTGGTTTATTATTGTGTCAGTTAGGGTTACATTTTCTACAAATAGCCCAGAACCCTAAAATAATGTTAGCTTAAACAGAAGTTGAAAGACTATCACCACTTTAACCAGCCATCTAAATGATTCTGATGTACATGGCTGGCAGGCAGCACTGTAAAAGTCAGGTTAGGGCGGGATTTGAGATATACTGTAGATTGCGCTCATTGATCAAGAGAAAAGAAAAAACTCCATAGAGTTGGGATGTATCCAAGTCAAGTGAAAAATTTTGTGTGTGGGTGGATAAATCAGTTAATTATTACCAACCAGAGTAATGCTGTCAACAAGTCACTCGAAAACTTAATGACTGAAAGCAAATACCAGGTCTTACTCAAGTGTTTGGGTCAGCTGGGTAGTTCTTTTGACGGGAAGAGGGCTCCCTGCTGCATCTGCGGTCACCAGCAGTGGAGGAGAGCTCTGCTAATCTTAGCCAGGGGCCAGTGGGCAGCTGGCCGATCTGGGGAGCCTCTTACTTGTTCTCTGTCATCTGTCATCCTCCGGTGGGCTGACCAAAGCTTGTTGTCTCGTAAACGGGGGGAGAGAGGGCAGGTTATAAGGACCCTTGGACCCTTGACACCTGGCTTCGTGACTGCACAGTTCCTCCTGTGGAACAAAAAAGTCACACGGCCTGTGCAGGCCCAGAGAGAAGAAGGCCACATCCCCATCCTGATCAGAGTCGCCCTGCAGGGGATGTGCACACAGGGCGACTGTGGGCTGTGCGGTGGCCCCGTAGTCTAGTTCTCTAGCCGAAGGGGAAGTAGATAGATGCTGCTCTCAGCCCAGAGGGGAAGTGCACGTCCCTGAGGAAATAACAGTGTTTTGAAACTGGGGGCTTGGGTTTGTTTTTTTTTTTTTTTTTTTTTTTAAAGATTTATTTATTTGTGCATACAGAACTGGGGCACAGGCCAGAGGCTCAGGGGCGGTGAGAGGCTTCACCAGAGACAGAGTGGGGAACAGAACAGGCAGATCTGAGGGGAGCAGCGGACGGGTCAGGAGAGGTCTGCCACGCCATGTGGTCTCCTCCGGGGCAGGCGGGAATCGAACTCATGCAGAAGCGGCTTTAGATTCTCAGTGCTGTGCTTTAACCCGCTGCGCCACCAGGGAGGGCCATTGGGTTTGTTGTTTTTAATAATAATATAGCTTATTTTTTACATCACATTGTGCCTTTTTCCATCTCAGTGGTCATCCCCTTGGGCTTCCCATCACCAAATCACCCATGTGCCATCACCATAGTCCAGTGCACTTCCCTTCCCCACTGTGAAACTGGGGGGGCTCAGTTTTTTAATGATCAAAAAAAATGAAACTTGAAGTTCAAATGCATAAAACTTCTTTAACTTGATTTCAAAATCATAGCTGTGCTGACATTTTTTACGTGGTTAATTTTGCTTTTGGTAGCTACCACACAAGATAATCTGGATGATAAACTGAGGAAGTTCGAAATTCGTGACATGATGGGACTGACCGATGATCGGGACATCTCAGAAACAGTGAGCGAGACCTGGAGCACGGATGTCCTGGGCAGTGATTTTGATCCTAACATTGACGAAGATCGATTACAAGAAATTGCAGGTAACTGCGATGTAATAAAGACAAGATTGCTGTTTAGGTACTGCTGTTCCCCTACCCTTTATGGGGGAGAACTTCCGATGTGTGAACGGGGCACTAACCAGGACACTAACTGTAAGTAACAAAGTGTTTGTGGTTTTTTTTACTGAAAATATAGTGTTTTCCATGTCCGTATTTAAGTCCCTCTATGCTCCCCCTCCAAAAAAAAGGTCTTTTGAATTAGCTTCTTAAGTCTTGTTTGCAGGCAGAGTGTGTTCTTAGTTTCTAATTAGCAAATTCTTCTTTTGCGACTAAATACCTTACATTAACACGAAAATCCTTGCAGATTAGAGCCATAAAATCCTTTGGAATAATTTGATAGAGAATCTCTAAAAATTGAATTTATTTTTGAAGGATTAACTAATTAGTTCACTTCCAGAGAACAGTTTTTTAACCTCAAGTTCGAGATATAATTAATATACATTAAGATTTTCCCTTTCTTAGGGCACTGTTCTACGAATTCTGAAAGATTCATGTAGTAGTCTTGTAATGCTTGTCTTCATTTTTTTTTTTTAAAGATTTACTTATTTATTCATATAGAATTGGGTACAGGCCAGAGATGTGGAGGGTGAGAAGATTCATCAGAGACAGAACGGGGAGCAGAACAGGCAGATCAACGAAGTACACTGCTGAGGGGAGCAGCGGGCGGGTCAGGAGAGGTCTGCCACGCCATGTGGAGCTCCTCCAGGGAAGGCGGGAATCGAACTCGTGGAAGTGGCTTAAGCTTCTTATGCTGTGCTTTAACCTGCTGCGCCACCAGGGAGGGTCCTCATTTTCTTTTTAAGTCATGGAACATTTCAAACAACATACAGGTGAGACTGATAGGAGCTGTGTGCCCATCACTGGCTTCAGCAGTTTACTTGTACAGGAATTGTTTCATCTCCTCTCTCGCTTGTTATTTTTAGTTTCCTCCTTTTATGTTTAGGCAAGTTCCAGGCATTCTCTGTGATGGTGCAGTGGCTGATAGCTTCATAGTGCTGCCCTTAAATACCTTGCGCCACCAGGGAGGGCCCTCATCTACCTTTAAAATGCAACTTTTGGGTCTCCCTGGTGGTGCAAGGAGTTCGTCTCAGCACTATGACGCTGTTGGCAGCCACTGTAGTATCATTTTGATCCCTGGCCAGGGAGCTGACCCACATGGCATAGCAGACCTCTCCTGTCTCCCTGCTGCTCCCCTCAGCAGTGTATTTCAGTGGATCTGCCTGTTCTACTCCCCACTTTGTCTCTGGTGAATTTTCTCATCAATCTCACCCCCACACACAGACACCTCTGGGCTGCACCCCAGCTTTTTTATGAATAATAAATAAAACAAAAATTTTTTAAAGTGCAAGTTTCACCAGTTACTTCTTTCAAAAAATTTTTAGGAGTTATTCTTTTGTTAGGCTTAATCAGAAATAGCAGAGCATTCTCAACTTGAGTGTATTTTATACACATGTACAGTAATGTTTAATTGTATTTTAAATAATATAAGTAGATTTTTTTAGCTAAATTGTTCTGATGACATAGTAGCATTTTTCCTGACAGTTGTATTTGAACAATAAGCTGCCTTTGCAGTTGACTTAGTCCTGTAGAAGAGATGCGTTTGTTCCTGCCAGTACATTTTATTGCTCTGCAAACGTGGCCGATATGCCAGAAGAAAAATATTTGGCTAGTAAAATTTTCTGTGATTAAATCTGGCTGAGTGTTTTAAATTTCTATGTAGCTATAAATTGTAGAAAACTATTAGGGTCACATGACATTTGATGGAAAAAACCCTAGGTGAAAGCTGATTAAAATGACTTGATCTAATGATGTGTATTTTCTCTATGGAGAGGCCAAGGTAAACAGGAGGAAACTGACGAAAAGAAGCTGTGTCATTGTGACCAAAATGGGGACTTGCATTTTTAGTGGTTACAGATTGAATTTATTTGTACTTGGCTTCCGTTTTGTGGGTAGTCTAGAGAAGATTTTGTTATCCTAATGTTTGGCTTTTTCCCTGTCACCACCCTTTCCCTAGGGCCTTTGCTAACCCTTTGCTCCCTCCCCACTGGCCACAGGTGCAGCAGCAGAGAACATGTTAGGCAGTTTGCTGTGCCTGCCAGGCTCAGGGTCAGTGCTTCTGGACCCCTGCACTGGCTCCACCATATCAGAGACGACAAGCGAAGCTTGGAGTGTGGAGGTATTGCCAAGTGACTCAGGTCAGTATGTTGTCATCATCTGCTTTTTGATTTGCATCGAAGTTTTAAATGTGTAAAGTCTCCTATTTCTGTGTTGTACACATCTTGCCAAATAGACATTCAGCAACTATGAGGCAATCATATTGCTAAGGATTGAAAAGGAACAGTTTAGGGCATTTTCTGTCCATTAAGAAAAATTGGTATGGGGCCCTTACTGGTGGCTCAGGGGGTTGGGTGTGAGCATGATGAAGCTGTTGGCAGCCACTATGACACAGGTTGGGTCCCTGGCCAGGGAGTGACCCACATGGCGCAGCAGACCTCTCCTGTCTCACCCACTGCTCCCCTTAGCAGTACATTTCAGTCAATCTGCCTGTTCTGCTCCCCACTCTATCTTTGGTGATCCTCTTACCCCCCCTCCCCACACCTCTGGCCTGTACCCCTCTTCTTGTGTGCATAAATAAACAAATACTTTGAAAAAGAAAAATTGCCTAGTCTAAGTTGGCAGGTGACGCCAGACTCTGTTCATTTACCTTGGACTCACCTGTTAGTAACTCATCAGGGTTCTGAGCGAGACACTGAGTTTACTATCTTCCGTACTCGACAGACTAAGTTTAGCTTCACAACTCAAACATTGAATGGTTAAATGCCTGGTAAGAGCGTTTCAATTTGTTCCAGGGAGAACTTGACTCCTTAAAAGATGTCTAGGGTATTTTTGAAATATGATGAAATTGAGACTCTGGTGTCCAGAAAATTATTTTGTGCAGGATTATTATAAATGTATGCGAAGTTTTTTGTACATTCAACTATGTATTACATTTCTGCTTTTTTACCCGATTATGACAATAAAACTTTGCCTTCAAGTAAATGTCACCTACAGAATGCAGATACAAGTTAACTATGTCTGAGTTACATTTTGTTTGATATGTTATGGACAATAATTAAATGATCCTGATAAGTGTTTTATAATATCAAAGCAGACATGCTAATCAGACATGTAATCTCTACAAAAGGAAGCAGTAGGACCAGCTCCTTCTCTGTTGAGTGTTCATAAGAGTTTTCAGAAGGTAGTTGATTTTAGGCTAAGCTACTTCATACTCTCTTGTTCACTTTACATTTCAGTCAACAGCTACTCTGAGATTAGTGAGCGGGAAGCAGTGTCATTGTGCACAATGAACAGGCCTATATAGGGTGATAATCATAAGAGTGACTTCTTTAACATACCTTTGACTTTGTTAGCTGACCCAGGCTCAGAAATCTATTTACAGGGATGTCATCCATTTCCCTGGTAGCTTCCTTCCTCTGGGTCACAAAGAAGCTGAAGTTGTGGTGAGTTCATCGGGTCACTAATTGACCTTGCGTCTTCTGTTTAGAGGCCCCAGATCTCAAGCAGGAGGAGCGTCTGCAGGAGCTGGAGAGCTGTTCTGGACTGGGCAGCACATCTGATGATACCGATGTCAGGGAGGTCAGTTCCCGCCCCAGCACACCAGGCCTCAGTGTTGTGTCGGGTATGTCTGTCTTGTTTTAAGGAATAAAAGGTGTGTCTCTACCACCTTGTTTATAAAGCTGATAACTAAGAGATATGTTTTATTTAAAGCTGGTCATTTCCAGGAAGCACAGTTATTTCTATGGGACTTTAAATCTATGAGAACATAATGTGTAGCTTTCGAGAGCCCTGCTGAAGCAATTGACAACCTATGTGTGTTCCCTTCGTAACTATTTGTTCTGGGTAGCCTGTGCTACTATCATTAACTATCACATGATAACTCTGATTATGTTGTATGCATCAAGGTAAACATGTCTAAACAGTAGTGCAATGAAGGTATAATACCAAGTAACTCACATGCATAAGAACTTGCATGAGAGAACTGGTCATAAACGTTTTGAGAATATTTATATTTCTCCAGACTTCATATACTTTTTGTGTGATTCTTTTGTTCTTCTTGCTGTTTATTTTTTACTAATTCTTTCTTTTAAGGCATAAGTGCAACCTCTGAGGATATTCCTAATAAGATAGAAGACCTGAGATCTGAGTGCAGCTCTGATTTTGGGGGCAAAGATTCTGTCACGAGTCCAGACATGGATGAAGTAACTCATGGTAAGAAGGGGAGATGAGACTGACTTGAAAACAGTCACACCTGAGGGTGAAAAAGGCAGTCTTACACATTGCTGGTGATACCATTATGGTACTGGGAGCATCATTTGGCAAAAAGTAATTAAGGTAGTAAAATTTGCACACACATTTGGTCCATTTTAGTGTACTATAGGAATTAGTCATAAGGAAATAGTTCCAGGTACAGAGATAGTCTTATGCAGAAGCTTATAAAACTTGTCATTAAAAGCCTACCAGATAGAAGGAATTGGAAAGACCAAATACTAGCAGTTTTGTTTTTTTTTTTAACATTACATTCTTATTTATTTAGTACAGAATTGGGTGCAGGCCAGAGGTGTGGGGTGAGAGGATTTACTGGAGACAGATCAGGGAGCAGAATAGGCAGATCTGCTGAAATGCACTGCTGACAGAAGCAGCGGGGAGACAGGAGAGGTCTCCTGCGTCCTGTGGGTCACTCCTGGCCGGGGATTGAACCAGTGCCACAGTGGCTGCGGAAGCTCACACAGCCATGTTTTAACCTGTTGCGCCACCAGGGAGGCTCCTCATCGTATTTTAGTAATACTCTTTTTATAGATATTAGTGCCCTATTTTTATCGGTGGAGGGAGGTAAGACTCAGGGCAAGTGTGACATTCAGAAAATTTTGATGGTTGGCATCTTCGGGCTCCGCGCTCTAGGCACAACTACATCGCCATGTGGACAGGCACGCGGTGGCGTGTGGACGCTAAACCACTGGAATGGAATTAAAATCTACATGCGTCTGTAAGACATATGCCAATTTGGAGTAATCAGAATTTGAAACTTACTAGGTTTCTTTCCTGATACTTCTCTTAGTTGGGCAAAAAGGGAAGACTGTGTGGATGAATGCTTGGACTTGTTTCGCGGTGTGGAAACCCGCTGAGCCATGAGTTCTGACTTGGCCTCACAGTCTGTCTGTCTGTCTTAGGTGCCCGCCAGCTGGCTGCTCCACCCTCTCAGCCAGATGCTCTGCTTGCCATGTTTGACCCGCTGTCTCCTCATGAAGGTAAGTCAGTCAGATGAACTTTTGGGCTTTGTCTTACACACAGAAGAACAAAATCAAAGCTCCTTGTTACCGCCTTTGCTAGACTGGTTGTGTCTCAGTAGCAAGCTGCTTTTCCTGTGTTCCAGGGGCTTCTGCTGTGGTGAGGCCCAAGGTTCACTATGCGAGGCCGTCACATCCACCACCGGATCCCCCCATCCTGGAAGGAGCCGTGGGAGGAAATGAAGCCCGACTGCCACACTTTGGTTCCCATGTTTTAACTCCGGCGGAAATGGAGGCCTTCAAGCAAAGGCATTCTTACCCTGAGCGATTAGTTCGCAGCCGGAGTTCTGACATCGTGTCTTCTGTGCGGCGGCCCATGAGTGACCCCAGCTGGAACCGACGTCCAGGGAATGAAGAGCGCGACCTCCCTTCAGGGGCAGCCATTGGTGCTACTTCCTTGGTGGCTGCCCCGCATTCCTCATCCTCATCCCCCAGTAAGGACTCCTCGAGAGGAGAGGTATGAACACGCGCCATGTCGGAGAGCTGGCCGCCTCCGGTCAGCGCTCGTATTGTCAGTCTGCTTCTCGCGTGGTTGGCCGCTGGCATGGAGTATATAGGTCTGGGATTAGACACGACTGAAGGTGCTTCGTCTGTCTAGCATGTCCTCAGCTGCCACCCGTCGGGAACCTGTGCTACCTTAGTTTTGCAGTCATGTGTCTTGCATTTTTACCACATTTGCTAAGCAGTTTTCTGTCTAATTTTATGTAAACCTCAGTTTCTTTCACCACCATAAAGTTCACTCTTTTCCCCTTTGTAATAATACATATTCTGTGTGTGTGTGTGTATCGAGGGGGGTTGCTTTGAAATTATGTACATTTTCTGTTTATCAGATTTTGAGTCTATCTACTTACTAACCATTACTTATTATGGTCTTGTTGTTCTCTATTTTAGTCAGTGTGTTTGCTACCATCACTTATTTTGAAGCCTGGTTGTGTCCAGTTCAGCCAAGGGAAGCCCCTTCAAGCTGGCTCCTGGATTCCTTTGATGTGCTGCTGATATTCTTTGAATATTACTGTGCTTTCTGACATGAAATGTTACTTGCTTTTATTGCACAGTCTGCCCTAGGCCTGGAAGCAGCCATTTCTCCAAGGAGACCTTGCTTCTTTTAGTTCTCAAATCAAGGTCTGCTCCTGTTCTCAGGTTTTGCTGCCTCTCACTTGATGGAGTTAGGGACTGGGTGTGTGAATTTGTGTACACACACTTACCCTTGTATTTATTCCTATGTTGTCTTTACATGCAGTGAAACAGGCTCTCAGCAGCACATTCCAATCAGCCTTAAAGCATCAGTGTGCATATCACTGTCCCTGTGTATGCTTGGAACTCCTGCCCGGTTGGGAGCGGCTGTACTGCTTATCACGCCTCATGTGTGTACTTGCTTCACGAGTTCCCCCATAGATCAGTGATGTCTCATCCCACTGTTAAAACTCCCTGGCGCAGATGCCCTCGTCTCTCACATTCACATGGACATCCTTTGAAAGGCCTTTCGAGTCTCAGTCTTGTAGATGAAAAATCAGATATAAATGCTTTGTCCAAGGTCTCATGATAACAAGGAAAGAAAGGGTTTAAGTCTCTGCCCTTTGACATGTTGTCTCAATGGTAACGCAACGTTGATGGTCAGAGCTAGGTTTCAGTTCTGGCTGTGCCGCATTCGCATTCGGACCATATTACTTTGAGGAAAAAGACGAGGTAACTTTTGTAGCTTTGTATTTGTTACATGTTTAAAGGACCAAACAGTATTTATTTCCTAAGGCTGCTGCGCTGTTTAAATGAGATAGCAGGTAGTCTGTCATCACACCTGGCACACAGTGTGAGTGTCATGATGGCACTACCGCACCCCCCTGAGACTTCATGCGTGGCATCTGCGCGTTCCTAATGCACATGCGTGCCTACTTTGTGTTAGGCGCCTCATTAAGCTTTCATTGACTAACAGTAATGAGAGAGCATTTACCCTCATGTGGATCATAGTCTACTTGAAAATTACTTCAAAAATATACTTCAGTGTTCCAAAAGTTACCTACACAGTAATAAGAACAGTTATGCTTTTGGCACAAGTAGTGATTTTTATATTTCACAGACTAACTGAAATCCTTTTCATAGTAATTTATCCTGCTACTGAATTCCAAATAAAGCATCAAACTTTTTCTACAGACTGAAGAACGCAAAGATAGCGATGATGAGAAATCAGACAGGAACAGACCTTGGTGGAGAAAACGTTTTGTTTCAGCCATGCCTAAAGGTAATTTTATAAAATACTAGAATGCTATGTAAGCAACAAAAAGCAGAGCCCTCAAATCTCTTTCAGAGAGCCAATATCTGAGGTCCTCTGTGAAACTTGCTGGGCCTAAATTTCTAGCTGTCCTGAGGGTGTAGAAACTATCACACAGATGAAACTAAGATGCTAAAGCAGAACTTTAAAAATGGACAGTTGTGTTTATTCTTTGCAGGAAGTGGTAGCATTTTCATAAATGGAAGTCACACAGGTCATGGTTGAGACTTTTGACAGGTATTGCTACTAATTGTGACAGGACACATCGGTATTTTTGGTAATGAAACATGAAAATTCATCCTTGACATTCCTGGGACAGACTTAAGCCTTTTATGTCTATGTTCATTGAGCATGTTTATGCTGAGATTATTATTGAGTGCTTATTTTGAAAGGCAGTTGTATAAAATTGTTGGCTTTTTTGTGACTAGTCTGGCATCACACCAGTACTCGCTGAGATCTGAGTTGGCAGAAGCATCTCTTCCTGAAAGGAGAGCGCACACAGGACCAAGCAGGGACCGCTGCCAGGGTCTCTGCGCGGCGCCGTGTGCTCGGGAGCCGGGCGCTGCTTCCACGCGTGCTCAGGCCCCGCGAGGAGGAGCAGACGATGAGCTCAGGGTGCTGGACGGCTGTTTGGAGGGAGATTAAGAGGCAGTGGTTTTCACTTGTTCCCAGCGCTTCCCGTTAAATCATTCTCCCTGTGACAGACGACCCCCAAGCAGACTCTGAAAGCTTCAGTGCTAGTTAAGAACTATTGCCAGTTGACACTTGGATTTCTTAGCTTTTAAACTTTTCAGCCTCCTTTCACTTAGAAATGTTGGCACACCAGTTAACTCCAAATGACTGCTGTCTTCCAAGTAGTGCAGTATGTTATATGTCACACTACTGACTTTATTTAATTTCCAGCTCCTATACCCTTTAGAAAGAAAGAAAAACAAGAAAAAGACAAAGATGATCTGGGGCCTGACAGATTCTCAACACTCACAGGTTTGTAGCTCCATGGACTTCCTGGCTCCTTCATTCCCAGAGCACATATTTCATAACACTTACCTTGGGTGCCATGAGCGCTGCCTTTCTAGAAGAGTGTGTCTGTGTGTGTACAGTGGGGAGTATGTTCTCATAGCTCTGTGGTTTCCGGTTGGCGGCCACAGCGAATCTCAGTGTGCTCTTCCTGCAGACGCCACCACCATCATCATCCTCATTATCATAACTTCTGTTTATGATCCTGAGCCTCTGGGCTTAGCCTCCAGCTCAGCACCCTAGAGAGTTGAGGACACTTAGTGCCTTTTAGGAAGGTGTGGTGACGGTTTAGTGCTGTGCATGCCATATCTTGGATTGTTGATTGACTAGTTTTCTCTAACACTGATCATTAATAAATTGATTTCTAAATTTATTTACATCTGTAGTCCTTGATTATTCAGGGTCACAGTGAAATTCTGTTTTTACCTAATCATTGCCTTTTTTCTGATAAAGTGTTCAAGCAATATCTTAAGTTTATAAACGTTACCAATTTTTTACAGCTTGATTCATTTTAACATTGCTATCTGGCTCAAGGGAAATACTAGGGTGTGGGTTCTGACCTTACTCAGCATTTGTATTTTGCAGCTGTTTTTTGGCGCATTATGAGAGCAACCTAAAAGGAAAGTCTGAGCATAGGCAGTGTACATGACCCACCCTTGAGGTCGACGCTCTGTATTGTCCCCTGTGACTATAGAGCACCTAGAGGGAAATTAATCTCTCGCCTCTCTTTTCTTATTTGGGCTTTAAATTATACTATCCTACTAAGTCAAAAAGAAAATTTTTACTAAAAAATGGGATAGGTTTCAAAAGAACATCCTCCTTCAAAGAGCTCAGCATAGTAAAGGTAGAATCCCATTTCAGTACACATTCTGCTGTCCAGTTGTACATCTTTAGATAACATTTATTTCCAAGCCCTGGGGGACACCTGCATTATTTTTGTGGCTACTTTCTGGAATAAAGGTTTTGCACAGCAGGAGATGTGCCTCCGGCTCTTGGCTTCCTGCTGAGGAACATTAAAGCCTACCTTATTCCATCAGCAAACACTTGTTGAACATCTGACTCACGCCAGGCACTGTGCTAAGTGTTGTGGGAAGTGTGTCAAGGCACCCAGGAGTCCTGTGCTCCCGGAGGAGGTGGGAAGGCGTCCTCTGGGCTCCAAGCGGACGTGGCCTTCCCGGGTTCTCAGTTTAGAATGCCGTTTGTGTTGGCCGAGGGAAACACTCTTAATGAACTGTCAAGAGCTTTTTGGAGAAGTTATAAGTCAGTTACTTTTTTACTTTTGTTTGGGCGGTGCATTGTTTTTGGTTCTTGGTATTGAGACTAGAAGCTAAGGAAAGTTTTTTTCTAAACTGTTTCATTTTGTATTTGATTCAGGCAATGTAGCGTCCCACCTGGTGCACATGTTTCTACCCAGTCCTAATTAATGACCCATGGAAATTTTTCATTAAAAACGTTAAAACCGTTCTGAAAGTTTTTAAGTTGAGTCCATAAACCTGCCACCCTATTTCTTCTCTCATGTTCTCTCAGTGTTTACATATTTGATTGAACATGACTGCATGATTGCAGTAGAGTATGTATGCGGCTTTGTGTTCTTCTCTTACCACAGAATTCACCAGCCCTCTCCCACTTTCTAGACATAGTTGTGTCTTACTCATTTTAATTGGCCATAAGATAATGTGATGATTTTCATGTAGTGGGAACATTCTCTTGCTCTCAGATATTTAAATTATATCTATATTTTTACATGAAAGTATACTCACAGCTTCATATGTAGATCATTTTTTGTTTTCATTTTTATGGGGTAAAAACTTTAAGAACGTCCTTAGTACAGTGTTGAAGGTTAGCAGCAACATACGGCTTTTAATCATGTTTGACAGATTTCCTGGTTCCTTTTCCGGAGCTGTCAGCAGCACTCACAGCCAGTAGCGGCAAGCACTTCCCTTCCAGGGAAGGTTTGGTGATTAGGAGATTTTTAGCAATTTACATTTTGAAGAACATCAGATTTGATTGGGACTGTCTCATCGTGCATTATAGCAGAAAGATTAAATCACCTTGGAAATCCTTTCTACAGATTACAGCAATTTTACAGAGACACAAATTCTAAATATCTTTTATATGGAAACAGAAGGGCCTCAGAGTGTATTAACCTCTCCATACCTTGACTTCCTCTTCTGTAGAATAGGGGTGATAACAATAGTTATGTCCTTATTGGGGTGTTGTGAGGATTAAGCAAGGTAATTCAGATGAGATGCTTAGCACAGTTCCTGATGCTTGACAAGTGCTCAATGAATGGTAGCAGCTGTGTGTGCGTGTGCACACACTACCACACTCTACCACCTAGTGATTTTTGTGTGCATTCAGAATTTTTAAAAATGGGATTCTACCAGGATACGGTCTTTTAGAGTTACCTGCTTGGCCTAATTCTACCTCAGGAGTTTGCATTAACTTCTTCCCATAGACCCACAGCAATTCTTTGCTCTGAGAGCTGTTAATTGGTGACTGTGCCATCTTAGACTTAGGAAGCCATTGTGACGGCCTGGGCTGGATCACAGGGGAATGGTGCTGTAGTATCGGCGCTGTGGTTGTGATAAGATTTTCCTCTGGGCACCCCTGGAACAGTTCCAGCACCCCAGCCGTGTCTCGATTCTGCAGGCGTGCCTCTGACACTGCAGGCCCTGACACACAGGCGTGTGCTTCCAGCTGCGCCAGTCGCGTTTAGACTTCCTGAGCTGAAACCTGAACTTTTCACCATGTGGTGTAGAGAGAGAAATTCATGAGGGAAGACTGAATGAAGGCATTTTTCCTGTTAAAAAGAGTTTAATTCTAAGTTTGAATACTTTTTCCCTGCAGCACGGAGCTGTCTGAGTAAATGAAGTCTGCATAGAAAATGCACTGTGGGAGCTTCTGTTAGCATGAATTGCTCATAACAGTGATCGGAGGGTGCAAACACCCTAGAAACCCATCATCCATTTAGTCTGCACTGAACTTTTTGATACTGTCATGCAGAATTCTGGCGATGATGCGAAAGTGGAGCTAATCCCCCAATGTTGTGCTTTGGCAAGGCTCTTGGGCCTAGAAATGCGCTGAGTAGGCAGCTGCATGGTGCCTCTTAACACTGAGATATGTGCTCTTTTTAAGTCTCACCTCCTAATCCGCCTTTGGGATTATGCTACTGGTGTCGTACTAACAGCAGCGCCTCCAAAAGTCAGGGGCTGACTCTCTCCCTCTCCTTTCCCCACAGATGACCCCGGCCCTAGACTCAGTGCACAAGCCCAGGTGGCTGAGGACATCCTGGACAAATACAGGAACGCCATTAAGAGGAGCAGCCCCGGGGAAGGAGCGATGGCAAACTATGAGAGTTCAGGTGGGTATCAAGACAGGATTGCGCGGTGGTGGGGGCAGCGGCGACATGAGCAGTCTGATTCAAAGCGCCCTTCCATGGCTGCTTCTGAGGAGCTGTCAGAAGGCTGTAGTGCAACGCCCCAGGCCGTTGAGGGAAACAGAACTACAGAAAAGCACAAGTAGGGGTGGAGTTCCTCCCACAACTGGCAGTGTGAGTTGGTTTGAGGGGGGCGGGAAGGGGAGCCCGAGAGGTGGGTTTGGAGGGAGAACTTCCCATACTTTCTTTATTGAAAAGTTTAAAAATAGAATAGTGTAAGTGAAAGAATAACATAATGGATGTCCATGGAGCCTTTCCCTAGACTTAATTAACATTTTTTTTCCCCTTGAAACATTTGAAATGTTCCCCTGAGAATAGGACTGTTTTCCCTAGGTCATCACAATATCTTTAGTACACTAAGCTTTTTTTTTATTATTCTTTTTAATTTTATTTATGCACACATTCTCTAAATTGACTAATTGAATAGATAGACGCTGAGGGCCGCGGCTCGGTCCTCGCTGCTGTTTGCGTGCTTCCCCGAGGCAGGGGCTGCGCGCGGGCTCTTCTCTGCCTGGGCAGGAGCCCAGGTCTGTCACGCAGGTGTGTTGAGGGAGAATGATCCCAAGGCCTCTTTTAGTTCTGTGGTCCAGTGATTGCAGAGTATTAACCTTACTCCGTTTGGGTCAGTGAATCAGCATAAGCCACTGTCTGGAAGGCCTCATGTGGCGACCACCTGGAGGAGGCGGAAGCACGTGCTCCTGGAACACAGTGTCACCTCGTGGAAAGGAGAGAAAAAGAAAGCGGGAACATTCTTTTAAACACCTGTTCTCTTGATACTTGGTGCTGTCGATAACTTGTTTTAAATGTTTGGAGCATTTTCCTCTTTCTTGTCAAAAAGTTCTTCTTGAAAAGCACAGTGTTCATTTGTTGTTGCTCGAATTCCTGGTGGTGCCAGAATATTCCCAACTAACTTGCCTCTGCCCCTGGGGCGGTGGCTTTTGTCTAGAGGTCACCGGTGACAGCGAGAGTGCGCACGGCTCCCCTCGGGACGAAGCCCTGCAGAACATCTCAGCCGACGACCTCCCCGACTCTGCGAGCCAGGCTGCCCACCCCCAGGACTCCGCCTTCTCCTACAGGTATTTCTTGGGACTTCGAGCTTCTGGAGTTGGGCGTCTCGTCACCATTGCCATGATGAGATAGAAGTGTACAAGGCAAAGAGAGTTTTAAAAAAGGTCGGGCCCTCCCTGGTGGTGCAGTGGAGCCCAGGCCTGTGCTCTGAGGTGTTGCAATTCCTTTCTCTGAATAGGATTTGAACTTCTGGCCCCACAGTACCAGAAAGAGCTGCGGGCACCAGCATATACAGGAATCCTGAAGGCCCCTCAGCACCCAGAGCTTCCTGCTGAGGAGGACAGCCTACAGCAGGGCACTTGCTGCGGGGCAGGGAGGGCAGTGTAGGCTCAACACAGAAACACTTGAAGCAGAGCAGTAGAGAAGGCTTCCTGTCCGGGAGCTCGTCTGGTGAAGGCCTTGAGTGCACCTCAGCACGGCGCCCTTGCCTTCCTCACGTGCCAGCGGGAGCCGGCGCAGGACGAAGTGAAGGAGTGGCTCTCCCAGCAGCCTGGTCCTTCCCCAGAGCAGCCTCGCAGCTCTGCTCCCTGGGCGACTAGACAGCCTGTTCTGTGGTGTGACGTGTCTATAAGTCACACATCATTTTGGTACACCACTTGGATGTCTGAGTCAGTCCTGGGGTAGCACACTAGTTTCCATAGTAAATACAACATCTGACCCCATAGGATAAAGAGATTAATATATGCTCAACTTACTCCTCAGAGATGCAAAGAAGAAACTGAGGCTTGCCCTTTGCTCTGCCGATTCTGTCGCGTTCCCAGTGCTGACCCACTCGACAAGGAATGGCTTACCAGACCACACAGACCCAGAGGGTGAGTTGCAGTGGCTGCGGCAGCGCAGTGCATCTGCTGAGCGTCACTGCGGGGGTGGTGACGGCTGGCCCGCCGCGTGCTCTCTGACTGGGCGGCGCACAGCTGCCCCCGGCCGCGCCCACCGCCAGGCAGGAGGGGCGCGTGGTGCTTGTGCGAGCCCTGGCGACTCGGAATGGTAAGGGGTTCTTGTTTTTGTTTGTCTAGACAATGAAATTGTGTGCTTCTTAAAAGTTCAAATAGCTGAAGCAATTAATTTACAAGATAAGAACCTAATGGCTCAGCTTCAAGAGACGATGCGCTGCGTGTGCCGCTTCGATAACAGGACTTGCAGGAAGCTGCTGGCGTCCATCGCCGAGGACTACAGGTAACGTGTCCGCCTGCCCCCAGCCTGCCAATGGCAGGGGAGAGCCTCTCGACTTTCTGCCAAGTGTCCGCTGGGCTCACTGGTCGTGCACTGCTCAGGTGGATACGTCACCCGGAAGTAGTCCTGGCCGGCCGCTCTGCTGTAGCGGGGTGTGCGTTTCTTGAGCGTTTCCTAACAGCAGCTTTAGCACAGAGGTGCCAGTGCTGTGAGGCCAGGGGAGCTGGGGTGACACAGGCCGGTTTTTAGGGTGGTAGGGAACACCGCTTCCCCGAAGCGGCCGTGGCCTAGGAATTGCTTCCAGTTGCCCTCTGCCCTCCCTTGCCAGCAGCTGTGGAGAAAAATGTCGCTGAGATGCTGCAAGTGAAGAGACCTTGGAGCCTGGGAAGTGGGGGTGCTGATAGCGGTCAGACTAAGTAGCTGATTGGTAGATGTTAATGACCCAGTGGTGCAGTAACCTAAACTTTGTTGCTCTTTTAGTCTTTTGAAGCAGTCAACTCCCTGCTAAGTGTCAGGGCCTGGCAGTGGGAGGGCCTGTCCCCCCATGAAGTGGACCAGGGAGGCACGGGGGCTGGGAGACCAGCAGTGAGTTTGCTCACGGATTGTTCTGCTCAGCCCAGGGTGTTCTTCGTAGAAGTTGCTGTTCTACTCTGAGGTGGCCACAGGATTAGTGCCCAGAATGGTTATTTACAGCCAGACCTGCTAAATGTAACCGGAATTTTTTATTTTTTAAGATTGATTTATTCATGCATACAGAACTGGGGTACAGGCCAGAGGTGCAAGGGCGGTGAGATGGAGTGGGGAGCAGAACAGGCTGGTCTGACTGAAATACACTGCTGAGGGGAGCAGCGGGCGGGTCAGGAGAGGTCTGCCGTGCCATGTGGGTCACCTCCAGGGCAGGGATCAAACTCATGCTGCAGTGGCTTTAGCTTCTCAGTGCTTTGCTTTAACCCGCTGTGCCACCAGGGAGGGCCCCTGGAATTTAATATGAAGTAAAACTTCATACTAGTAAGTCAAGAAGTAAAACTTTCCTTTGAAATACAAAGTAGGACGCTTAGTGTGCGAGACCATATGCGTGTCTGCGGCTGTCCTGCAAAGGTCTTTCCTTTTAGGAAAAGGGCCCCCTATATTGCTTACCTCACGCGTTGCCGGCAAGGGCTGCAGACCACGCAGGCCCACCTGGAAAGGCTGCTGCAGCGGGTGCTCCGGGACAAGGAGGTGGCCAACCGCTACTTCACCACCGTCTGCGTGAGGCTGCTGCTCGAGAGCAAGGAGAAGAAGATCAGGGAGTTCATTCAAGGTGACTGCGACCTTGACATTCAGCAGCTGCCCAGTGGCCTAGCTGGGAAGATGCGGAGCTCGGACCTGCGCGGGTGTTGCGCACCTGAAGCCGGCCTCCGTGCTCGGCCGCTTGCGGGACTCTTAACCGGGGAACGGTGTCGAATCGATGCATTACTTGTATTCTAGATGAGCCAGCTACAGTTTATAAAAAACTGAGAAAACTGGCAAGATTTTTCAATCCACCCAGTTTTCAGCAGTACATTCTGTTACAGCAAAGCCTTTGCTCTTAAACTTTTATCTATTTCTTGGCCTTTTTCCTGATTTCGATAATACTCTAGGATAAACCACACTGGGCCCTCTGGCTTTGCGAGCGTAGTAGCTGCAGAGCGAGTGGTTAAAGTGACGGCTGTGATTTCCCCTAAAAGTTACTCAGATACTGTATTTTAAAAGTTATTCTTTTCGCATTGGAGACTTTCAGAAACTCACAGCGGCTGACGATAAAACTGCGCAGGTGGAAGACTTCCTGCAGTTCCTTTACGGGGCGATGGCCCAGGATGTCATCTGGCAGAACGCCAGCGAGGAGCAGCTGCAGGACGCCCAGCTGGCCATCGAGCGGAGCGTGATGAATCGGATTTTCAAGCTCGCGTTCTACCCGAACCAGGACGGGGACATTCTTCGCGACCAGTGAGTCCGCCTCTGTCTAGTGCCTGTGGCGGCGCGGAGGGCCCTCAGCTGGCCCCGTGCTGTAGACGGGCTTTCCCTGAGACAAGGGCCTGGCAGCTAAGGCCAGGCCGCCACTCCCGGTCTGCACCTTTGGCGTTCGCAGGATGTGCCGAGTCGCCTGGGGCGAGTCGCGAGCCTTTGTGGCAGGCCTTGCTGTTGACTTGCTCCCCTCTCGCTGCCTGCCCTCCCTAAGCCTCCGATCTTGAGCGCCACTTCTTGGGGGGACCCTTCCTGCCGACACTCCCGTTAGGACTCGCTCAGGCCTGTGTGGCAAGAGCTCCCTTTCCCATCCCGGCCTGCCTCTCTCCTGCTCGCATGCAGGGCCCTCAGCCACCCAGACCCTGGCGCCTTGTGCTGGGTGGGGCCTGTTTTCCCGCCACAACACAGTTTTTGGCTTCTGGCATGGGGTAATGAGTGGAGCCTTCAGACTGTATGTACTGCAGCGAGCCAGCTGAAGCAGATTATTTCTGCCCTCTCCTCCGGGGATCTCTGCAGGTTTACCCAGAGGAGCACTGACAGAGTGTTCTGGGAAGAATGCTAGAATCCAGGAGAACTGAGCTTAGCCTCAGCTGCTAATCCCTGGGGACCCTTTGGCAAATCCTTCACCTTTGCAGGCCTGACTGCCTTCTTCTGAGATGCGGGTTGAGTGGCTTCACCTAAGCATCTCTGATCTTCAGTTTCTGGCTTTTGTGCCTTCTTCTCTTGTCCGGGTTACTGAGCAGTGTGCAGGGAGCTACTGGGTGAAGGGCTCCCCCACTTTCTCCCTGGGAAACAGCCGTAGTCCTGATCTGGGGAAAGAAGGGTTTCTCTGCCTTTCCTCTGCTCTGTCCACATGTCCTAAGTGTGATCCTTTTTATGTCTTGCTGCTTATTTTGCAGTTTTAAATTTTGCATAGAACTGGGGTACAGGCCAGAGGTGCGGGGATGAGTGGGGGTGAGAGGATTCACCAGAGAAAGAACAGGGAGCACAACTGCTGAGGGAGAGGTGTGCTGTGCCATATGTGGTCAGCTCCCTGGCTGGGGATCGCACTCCGGCTATCGCGGTGAGAGCGCCGAGGCTTACCCTAGGCCCCGGGAGGCCCCACTGTCAGTCTTTACAAGACAGACTGCTTAGAGCTGCCAGATAGCCTTTTCTCCACTGTGATCTTTATCTAGAGAGAAATCTGAAATACATATTTACATATGTGTTTTGGGGGGTTTTCAGGGTTCTTCATGAACATATCCAGAGATTGTCCAAAGTTGTGACTGCAAATCACAGAGCCCTGCAGATACCAGAGGTGAGACAGGTTTATATCGCATTGGGTGTGTGTGTGGGGGTAACCCAAACTGCCAAAGGTGTGTCATCAGTTCTTCAAGAAAACTAAGTGTAATGTCTTGCCAACGCCAGTTACAGCCACACGATCTCAAAGGTCCTTCCGAGGACTAAAATCCCCGGCGTGGAGGGGACGTCGGTAGCGGGAGTGGGAGAGCCAGCTCCGAGGAGCCCCGCCAGCGGCACGCGGCCTCTGCTCCGGCCCTGCTGCTCGGCCTGCAGCCAGGTCCCCTAGAGGGACAGGTCCCCTAGAGGGAGGCCAGGCCCGCGTCAGAGTGTGGAGACAGCTGTGCCAGGAGAGGACTTGGGGTCCCAGTGTGACCCGAAAGCCGTCTGCAGTTACTCACCCCGCCTTCCTCCCGGTCAGACAGCTCTTTTAAAATGGGGACCGTTAGGTACTTGAACTTCCTGGTTGTTTTACAAAATTCTCTTCAGTGGGATGTTAATTCGCATACTTTTTTAAATTGCCCGATTTTCCGAAACATTTCTAGAACGACAGCAGTAAAGACACATGCTAGTTTTTCAATTATTTTCCTTTAAAAGTAGCTTGCTCAGGTTCTGGAACCAGCAACTCCATGTGGAGAAGTTCCCTCCTAGCTGCTTAGGAAACATAACTGTTTGAAATGTATGACTTCTAGATTCGGGGAATGTATGCCCTTTGCTCTGCTAGTGGACATCTTGGTCGCTGTACTTGAAAAGGCAAAGCCCGTGACCCAAAAGTCTAAAAGTCAAACTTTGACCTTAAGTGAAGTGGAGGGAGCCGGAGCGTAGTTTTGCTGCGGGAGGGGCGGCAGCTGCCCTGGCCCCGCGTGGCCTGGCAGGAGGCTGCAGCCTGTGGTCCCTCGCAGGTCTACCTCCGGGAGGCCCCGTGGCCGTCCGCACAGTCCGAAATCAGGACCATCAGCGCTTACAAGACCCCGCGGGACAAGGTGCGGTGCATCCTGAGGATGTGCTGCACCATCATGAACCTCCTGAGCCTGGCCAACGAGGACTCCGTCCCGGGCGCCGACGACTTCGTGCCCGTCCTGGTCTTCGTGTTGATAAAGGTGAGCCCCTCGCTGCCGCTCCCGGAGCTGGTCTGGGCCGGCGTCACGCGGGGACCTGCCCTCTGTTGAGTCTCAGGCTCCTGTAGCCAGGAAGCCAGCCTCTTTGCAGAAGGAAGGGCAGGGGTGGCTGGACACGCGCAGCCTTCACAGCCGGGCCTGGACCTCTCGGCGGGGCTCGGTGGGTAGTTGCTGAGCGAGGCAGGAGCGCACGGGGCACGTCCTTTTTACTGTGTTCTGCCGTCTCCCTTCACGTTGAGTTCTCCACAGGCCTGTCGCTGCCTACAGCGTCGCCCCCCTCAGGGTCTGATCCCAGCACGAGCCGTCATCTCGCTGCTGGGTTCGTTCAACGGGCTACACGCGTGCTCGGGCCGTGCGCTCCAGGCGCGCAGCGCCTGACGGCCTCGCCGCTGACCGCCGCTCCCCAGGGCGACAGCTGGGGCTGAACGTCACTTCCAGAGAGTAGCTGGGTGTTGCTTTCAGGACTGGCCCAGGCCTCTGACAGGGAAACGCGTGAAGATGTGGTGTGTCTTAGCGATTGACGCTGAGGATTTCCCCTCTCCCAGGCAAACCCGCCCTGTCTGCTGTCCACTGTTCAGTACATCAGCAGCTTTTACGCCGGCTGTCTGTCCGGAGAGGAGTCCTACTGGTGGATGCAGTTCACGGCGGCCGTGGAGTTCATCAAGACCATCGATGACCGAAAGTGAGCGGCCGAGGCCAGCCTGGCGCAGACTGTCAGGCGATGACTCTGAGGAGGCGTGCCAGCTGCCTGAGGCTGACGATTGTCTTGTATGATATTGTACAGCATCCAGACATTTTAAAGCAGACCTTTACTGAGCAGATTAATGAGCTGACACGCAGGGCTCTCTCCCTGGGCTCCTCCCCTTTGTAAGTTGCATACTCTGTTACTTTCTTGTCCCCAACTAGAGAATAGTACGGCAGGAGGGACCACATTTTTCAGGTATTTTGAAATATTAAAAAACAAAATGAAATCTCCTAGAAGATTCCTACATCTCCATTCATGGCTACCCTTCTTTTATTTGAGAGGGGAGCATAGGCCTCTTTTCAGATGCTGTCTTACCTTTTGCATCAAATAGAAGGAAAATACCAGTTGCACTGAGGATAGTAATGTGGTGACATTCGTGGCATTATCTATAAATACACTCACCTAAACGGAAAAGCTGAGAAGGAAATGTAAATATAATATATATTTATATTTGATGTAATATGGACATCTTCAGATTCTAATAAACAAGGACTGTTGCTGAGTAGGCTGTGATGTACCCTCTTGTGAAATGGTTTCCTTGACAAAATTTAAGCTGAGCTTAAAAGCAGAAAACAAAAAAAGTACTCAACTATCTATTAAAGTGTGGCGCAGTGTTGGCTTTTCCGGGTGTGGCGTGTGGGTCCGGGCGCCGGTGCCTCGGGGCGCGTCCTGGCCTCGCAGCCGCCGCTCGCGGGGTGTCTGGCCGCGCCGGAGCGGGCTACCCTGGCTCGGTCCGGTCAGGCAGGGGAGGGCGAGTAGGCGGCGAAGTTTCCCTGTGGTGCCCCTGCCCAGGACACTCGGCACCGCGCAGAAACCCCAAACTGAACTTACAGACTGGCCATTGTAATATATTTTTGATGATGATTCACATTGAATGCACAGACTGGAATTCAGTGAATGTCATTTTTTACAAAAACTAATTTGTATTGTCTGCTCTAGTGATACAAGTTTTACTAGTGATAAACTATTTTAATCAACCATACTATTCTTATGGGGGAAATCTATTTTGGCAGGTTTCTGTGCCTTTATTTCTCTCTTCTGGAAAAGAAAGGACGTCTCAGTATTTTTGGTTTGATTGTATGCTGACCGTTAATCAGGGCTGGGTTTTGGTGTCTGGGCGGCTGCCACGGAGCCACACCAAAGCGTCAAGCACAAGTCTCGAACACAGGTCATCGCCGACCGGCGTCACTTTGTATGTTTCCTCAAGATGTCCCGCTGCTTTCACAAGCTCGGTCCCGTCCTCGGAGCCCCTTGCTGCCGGCAGCCTCGCGGCCTTCTTAAGGGAGCTGTGAGCAGCAGCCGTGAGCAGCAGCCGTGAGCAGCTGCAGACTGGCAGTTTTGCCCTCTCTCCGAGCTACCTGCGCCCCACCGTGCCTAAAGAAGCCGGTTCCTTGTCTCCACCTCCTCCCGTTCATTTCTTTCAATAAACTGTAACAATAAGTTGCATAGGAGTGTGGAATGTGGCTTCTGCCTTTTAGGGAGAGAGAAAAATTAAGCCACTACTACAGAATATGCGTTTGAATGTTTGGTCGAGAAATCTGCTTGTAACTGTCAAACACACCTAGGTACTAGAAGTCAAACATAAATAGAGCACAGGACAGACAGACTGGCTAACGTGAGATCTGAGCCTAAGAGGGAGTCCATCTACTTCAGCATTTGACTCAATAAATACTAAATCAGTAGAAGACTTGGAATAATTGAAGGTCATTGTGTCGGGATCTATCTGACAAGTCAATGAGAAAATGTTTTTCTCCATGATGGTTGCTAAATTATCCATGTTATCACTATGAGAATAAATATGAAGATGTGAACATTGAAGAAGGCTCTTTTCTGTGGTGAAGGTGGTGAGTTTGGGGTCCAGGGGTACCCCAGAGGCAGAAACTGGTGAGGGTGAGCCCCAGAGATGGAGATGGGTGTGTGGGTGTTGACTCAGGTGCTGACAGAGAAGCACAGCCCAGCTGTTCAGGGCGCAGCCAGGTTTCCTCTGGAGACCAGACCCAGAGCGAGGGACACTTTGGCATCAGCCACTGGTTTGCCCTCACAGTGCCAAGCCCCGTGTAGCAGTTGGGCGGGCACAGGACAGGCGTAACTCGATTTTCTCTTTCATGAAAGAGGAATCGTCGTTTTCCTCATGTTATGTGTTCTGACTGCACTCCCAGTACTGACTTGACATGAAGGTTTAGTGCAAAGTGCAAAATCACCACGGGAAACCTTCGGTGTGTGGAATGGGTTAAGGATAGTGTTGAATGGGGAGACAGTGGCTCAGTTAACTGACATCTGTAGAATGAACTTTGCTGATGAAAAAATAAATTTGTACTTTGTATTAATATTCTGCTTCTGCAGAAAGTTAGCAGCAATACAGATTCAAGATTGTTTTGCCTTGTAAAATTATTTTTTAAAACTCATTTGGTAGAAAACACTTTATTTCACTGTCACATTTCAGCCACAGTGTGCTTTCCTTTAAAAAAAAAAAAAAAGCCTGCATATGAAAACCTTTTTAGACAGATTTGAGTCATTGTAGTGAGAGAATTAGACATCGTGAGGGCTGGAAATAGATGCATGGGTTTTCTTTTCCAGTTTCCTGGAAGTCTTCATGTACGTGCCATAGACACAGCTGCTCAAAGTGTGTGAGTGAGAGAGTGGGAGCCCCCAGGCCCCCTGGCACGAGACTCCTGGCTGTGGGGTCTGTAGCTGTGGCGATGTGACTCGCCCCACACCCCCCAGCCTTGAGAACCCCAGCTGAAGGTCAACTAAGTGTGTTTAACAGGTGAAGTTCTAACAGTTCCTTTCTCTTGATGTGCCTGGGTAGGGAAGGCAGGGTGGGGACACATTTGCTCCAAATTACTAGTGGACCACAGAAGTGATTGAAATGTGGTGGCATCAGCACCATCTGTGTGTCCTAGGCAGCGTCTGCCTGCCTCTCCATTCCTTATTTCTTTAAGAAGTCTATATATTTGCTCTCTCTTTTTTTTTCCTCTAATGAGTTTATTCTGCATGTAATTGCCAAAATTGGGGAATGGGGAAGGTGTACGGGAATCAAAAACAAGCTTCTTGAAACTCAGAAGTTGTAGTAAGTACATGAAAAGGAATGAGAATTTTGAGATGCTTTGAATGCCCAGATGCTTGAGAACATTGCCAGATTAATAATACGTTTTAGAATGTAGGTTACCCAGGAGGTAGGAGGCCCGGGGATGGCTTCATGCTCTCAAGGACGCTTGGAAGTGCAGGTGTACTTTCTCGTTAAGGTGGCTGCCACGTCCCAGAGGCCTTTGCACTCAGCAAAGGGTGATTCAAGATTAAGGAAGGCCTCTGCACTCGGTAGGGGCAGACAGTGTGTGCAGGCCACGCGCCTTACGAACTCACCTCTGCTGAGTTGATGCTGTCGTGTCTATGTGTTCTTGTGTTTCATGTGTATGAAAAACTTTGTATTGCCTCTCTTCTTGAAGCTGAAAAATACCTTATGTAAGTCTCAGTAATGAGCTTGCACCATCTTGTATACATTCAGGAAACCTGTCTTCTAATGTCATTACTAATGTATGGTATTCTATAAAGCTGATTAAAAAGGGAGAGCAATATTGCACTGGGTTTTACGTTTCCAGTCATCTGTTTTGTATTCGGAAGCTTTTCTGAACATGTTTGGGCTTTCCAGTTATTACTGATAATCTCCATGTGAATTCACACTGGTCTTTGTCATCTGAGCATGAAAGGACATTTGTTGGGTACAGCACAGAAAGGAACTAGACTGTCCCAGCTGTTAACAACAGGATGGTGAATTTTTTTTTTATTACAAAGTTTATTTTTACATCATTTTGCACATTTTTTTTTCCATCT